TGTCCTACAACGTCTTGCTGATTCTCAAACAAAAGATGCCTTAGGGCTCATCTCCTAGTTGGCCTATTCAGTACTTCTGGCCAAAAACTTATGATTTGTCACCAGGTGACCATAGCCTTGAGAAGACTGGTGCAAGAGTTCTGATACTAATTGATCAAGGAAAGGAGAAGAGAAAAGAGAATAAGGTAAGAGAGGATAGGAGAGGAGATAATGTCTCACTCCAATTTATAGGAGGGAAAGGAGGTTCTTTTATTATAACATACCTGGCATGAGATTAAGAAACAACGGTTCAAATGTTGGTCCAACCAGTTTATTACAAATCCTAATCAGGCAGACGGGGAAGGGAGGGAGGGTGATAGAAAAGATAGGAAAGAAGCAAGAATCATGTAAAGCAGGGATAGTCAGCACCAGGATCCAGCAGCGTCCCGTTGCACGACGTTTAAGGTCTGAGGCAAAAGCAGCCTCAGGGGGGGAGGAAGCAGTAGCAGTAGCAGCGTGGCCAGCTTCTTCCAGCTTTTAGTAGGAAGAAGTCGCAGAGCCAATCCAGGAGGAAGCAGCAGGACTCAGGCAGCAGGCCTAGGACAGTCCATCAGCATGCACGAATTCCTTAGTGAGGAATCTGATGGCAGACACCTTTGTTCTTCTTCAGCATTGTGGTAGAGTACAGAGCAAGTCCAGGAGGGAGAGAGGCAGGTTGTGAGGCTTCTCGTGACAGAAACCTCTTCTTCATGAGGAATCTGGTTCCAGAAAACCTCCCTTCTTGGTTGTTGACTGCCTCATGGCCATTAAGCTGCAGCTTCTCTCTCTCTCCTTGCCCCTGTCCTTGTCCATCTGTGTTCCTCAAAGGATTTCTCAACTCTTCCCCAGGACTTGCTTGGACTTGTCCATCTGAGTCCCCAGCAAGCTTTGAGACCACGTAAAAGAATAATCTCTTACAGAGATGAAGCAGGAGACTGTAGACAGAGCGGTGCAGTGATGTGGCCATGTCTGTGAGAGCAGCAGAAGACTCACACTGGGATCATGTCAGGAAGCTGTAACAGAGGCAGTGCTGTGGCACTTTGGCCTAGGCCTTCAGTACACACCTGCTAGTGGCTATGGCTCAGATGGTCTTCATCACACCGGTGTTGATAGGAATCATCCCTTTGGGAATTCACCTTGTGCATGGCAATCTGCATGAGCACATTCAGCTGCACTCAACAGCTGAGTCGGGACATGGCTCAGCTATTGAACAGCATGGAGCAGGGAAGCCAGAGGCAGAGCTGGGCAGTAAAGGGAGACCTGCTGCTTGCTGCCCTGCTGCACTGTCAGCTCTGGGCCTTTACTAGAGTCCTTTTCCTGCTCTTTGGCTTCCTTTGATGCGTTAGGAAAACAAAATATTTGCTAGAAAGCAGCACTGAGATTTAATAATACCAGTGCTCCTCTTGTAACAGTTGTCTTTTTTGTGTTTATAAGACAAATTAACACCTATGAATAGTTTTGCTTTAAATATGGCTTTTTTTTTTCATGCTGCTACTTATCACTTAGACACTTTTCCATAGCTGTTTCTTGTTTCTGGTATGCAGAAATATATTTGATAGCACCTTGTCCATCAAGATGATGCTTGGAGTGCAGCACAATTACTTGGGCACTTTCTTGAATAGATTGAAGCCAGCTACATCAGCATCATGGTGTGGCCAGAAAACTGCTGAGGCATGTGGCCAGGAATGCCCAGCAGACTAACTTCTGCCTCAACTGTCTCTGGACCTGCACCCACCTTCTGGTGAGTACAGGCTTTTCCTCCCAGTGCTTGAAGACAGTTGTGATTTGCCACCTGTTGCAAGAGGGATTGCTCCTGTGGCTGGATGATCTCCTGAGAACACCTCTGCTGCTGCCTGCAGAAGAAATGTCTGAACACCTTTCTCTTAGGATGTGAGAGGGTCCCTGAGGACGTGGTCTTGTTGCCATTCTCTGAACAGCTGGGCCCATCAAACTCTTCCAGCACCTGGTACAGAAGCCAGCTACCCTCGCCTGGGAGCTGTGCAAGTTTGAGGAGCTGTGCGATTAGCTTGTGAGATGCTGACCCTGGAAGAAATCTCCACTGACAGTGGAAGAGGTGGGGTCTCACACAAAGCTGCATGTACAGGACTCAGATGGTGGCAGATGATGACCCTCCATCTGCAGGAAGAAGTCAGGATGCAGAGAGAAAGGAGAGAGAAGGCCCTGTGCAGCAGCATGTTGTGAAGAGAAGCAGGATGTAACGTTTCTCCTCACAGTCATGGCTGCGCAGGGCACAAGTGAGAAGCACTAATTGTGCTCACTGGAGGCAGAGTGGAGAACCTGCCCACCACCTCTCTAGGTGCTGGTGCCACAAGGCTGAGCGTGTTGAACAGGCAGAAGACGTGTCTCAGTGTACATTTTCTATTTTCTCAGAATAATTTAAATGAAAATACTACAGAAATACATTCCAGTTTAGTTTTCATCTTCAGTATCTTTAATATTTTATAAGCATAAGTAATGTGTTGTTCCATACTTTAATAGTTCTATGCAGTTTTTCAGTATGATCGATTGTCAAAAACATGTTCATTTGCTATATTTTAATGAAGTTTGTCAGAATAAGACTAACCCAGAATAATGGGAAAACATTGATTCTGATCAGCACTTCTGCTTATCTTTTTGAAAGAACTCTCATTTTCTGTGTTATTCATCTCCACTACTTATTTTGCTTTGTTGTTTGTTCCTTTTTCCTGCACTGTTTCAGATGTCCAGCATTGCCACTAGCTCTTGGTGCTCACAAGAAACTTTACAGGACCAATACACTGAACTAAGACATCTTCTTTCAATGCACTGTGAGAAACAGAAAACCTTTTTTTCTTCAATCATGTACTGCTGTATGTGACCAGTGTCTCATTCTCCTTCCTTAACTGATCATGCTGCTTCTCCAAATCATGCATTCTTTTTACCTGTACAAACCTCAAAGGTGTTGCAAAGCTTCTTTGCTGAAGTGCTCAGGAACCTTTATCCAGTTTACAGCTTATATTCATTCATGCACAGTTAAGGCTTTGTTTCCCGTGCTCACAGTTACTACCTTTCTATCTTGCATTATCACTCCAGACTTCTCCGTCTCTTTAATGTCACAGTAAGCCTTATTGCTTATTTTATATGTCCTGTTTTCCTTATTCTAAGAACCTCTTTACTCCCACATACTTACACTAACAATTAAAATACAACAACAGAACACAATTTACTTATTGGTAAATTCTCTAATAAAATTCCAAGCACTGCTTTAAAGGTAAACTCTCTCTATGCCAATAAATGCTTCTTACTCTTAAAACATGGCAAAGTCAGTTTTCCTGAAAACATCAATATGCTGCAAAATGAATGTCAAGGGTAGGAATGACCAACCAAAACACATATTTTATAATAGCTACATTTTATATCAACTTTAAGTGCATTTTTACGCTTGCATATTGTGGCTACTGTTATCAGATTAACTAAAGCTTTTCAGAATTTACAGAATATCTGAAATTATATCTAATCTAATTTCCAAATGCCAACCTCCCTGTTTAATTGAATGGAATTCATCACAAAACCAGAACAATAATTTTTTGCTGTATTTTCTCAACACAGTATACTGCAGTATTTGCTTTTTGCTAGAGAAAGTAATAATGTGAAAATACAGTGACAAATTTAATATACGAGACCATTTGCTTCATCCAGGTTTTCTGAAGAAAAAAAAAATTGCAGAATTATATCAGAGTAGATGAGACTGAACACAAAATGAGACCCATGGAAGTATCTATAACAGAATAAAAGGATGTCTAGAAATACAACAGGCTGAAAAAAAAATTGAAAAAAAAAGTTATCCATGAAGTTTAAAATAGCCTGAGATTAAGAAATGTCACATTGCTTGAAATCCCTGAGGGCAGAGACACAGAAGGCATTTTACAAATATGAATTATTAAGGATAGACAATTTCTTCTTCCTTCAGGAATTAATCACAAAAAATATATATATATTAAAGCGGAACAAGATTTTTCACTCAGAAAAATAATACTTTCTGAGCTAACTTCAGAAAATCCAGAAAATCTGTGCCATACACAAGAAATAAGACAATGCCAGCTAATATAAAAGCATGTGATACACAACCAAAAGCGTTGATTGTTGACAACACATACAATGATATCAGGACTAGAAGCCAGTGTGATAACTGTTAAATGCTCCAGGACACTATATCTTAGTTCAACAGTTGTAATACAGATATCTCTTAAGTTCTGTCAAGTGCATCAACCAGGTAGAAAGAGAACACAGCATCTGAGGTGTAGCCACTGTCAAAGAACTGACAGCTGTCCTTCAAATAACAAAAATACACCTCTGTCCTAACTTCAGCTGGCCACACCACCTCCAAATATATCATATACCTGCAACACTCTACAGCCCTGAACAGAATGTCAAGTGCCTGTCCAATTTGTACTAATAATACTGTAAATCTGTAACTTTAAACATGAATAGTGAACTTTAGAACAGTTCACTGAGCAACAAGCCCGAGTGAAGTATTTTTTTCAAAATGTTTATACTGGTTTAATGGCATTAACATATTTTTAACGTTCTCCTGATTTAGCAAACCTGATGCCATTTTACTAGATCCTTATTTTATTCATATTATAAAGTAAAAACTTGAATTTCCTTCTAATTTACAAAAATAATGTATTCATAAACATAGCCACAAATATAAGAATTTTTAATATATAACTTCAGGATGTGTAACAGTTAGAATGAGATTTTAGAATGTGGTGGACTCTTAAGCAGAAAAGCCACAGAAGGGCGTAATAATGTGCACTCAGATCATTATTACATCTGTTATTCCCTTTTACACCACAGGCTAGTCTAGTCCTGAGAATAACCAAAATCTTTCCAGCAAGTCCATACTGCAAGAACATCCACTCAGGTATAATGGCCATTCACTTCAGTAGTGTCAGAATTCCAAATTCAAGACAATAAAACCAAAATGGTGAGTGACTTACCCCATTTAAAGGAAATGTTTTCCATCCTAATTCTCCAAGGACAGCTGTAGTATCAAGCAGCACAACTGAAAATGGAAAAAGAAATGGTATGTTTGTGGTATTGCTTGGACTAGACATATACAAGACAGTAAAGTATAAACTACTGTGAACTGAACTAGTTATATCAGTCAAGTACATTTGCTTAAAACTATTAAACCAATGAAATTATGGAATCACAGAATGGCTTGGGTTGGAAGGGACATCAAGAATCATCAAGCTTCAACACTCCTGCTGAGTGCAGAGCCACCAACCTCCATATCTCATACTAAATAGTACTAGAGTCTACCCATAGCCCCATCCAACCTGGCCTTGAACATCTCCAGGAATGGGGCATCCACAACTTCTCTGGGCAGCCTGTTCCAGCACCTCACCACTCTCTCTGTAAAGAACTTCCCCCTGATACCCAACCTAAATCTTTCCTCCCTCAACCATTTCCCCTTGTCCTGCCTTTATCTATCCTTGTAAAGAGTTGACTCCCCTCCTGTCTGTAGGCTCCATTAAGGTACTGGAAAGCTTCAGTGAAGTCACCCCACAGCCTTCTCTTCTCCAAGCTGAACAAGCCCAGCTCCCTCAGCCTGTCTTCATAGGGGAGGTGCTCCAGCCCCCTGATCATTACTGTGGCCCTCCTCTGGACCCTCTCTAACAATCTGTCTTTCTTGTATTAGGAGACCCAGACCAGGACGCAGTACTCCAGATGAGGTCTCATGATGGCAGAATACAGAGGGACAAAAACCTCCTTTTCCCTGCTGGCCACCCCTCTACTGATGGAGCCCAGGATACCATTTGCTTTCTGAGCTGCAAGAGCACACTGCTGGCTCATGTTAAGTTTTTCATCCATCAGGACCGCCAGGTCCTTCTCCGCAGGGCTACTCTCAAGAATTCTCCTCCCAGTCTGTATGCATGTCTGCGATTCCTCTTGCCCAAGTGCAGTGTTGGAGTAGGAATAAAAACACCTAAGCTTTTGAGGCTTACATCTCATTATTAAATGTCTCAGAAGATATAATTCTACAAAAACTAAACCTTTTGCAGAAATCATTGCTGATTTATTATACACTACCAATGATGCTTCATCATTAAAAGGCTTCTGAATATGTGTGCATGATTTTGCAAATCCTTGCCTTGAAATCTAGAAATTCTGTATATGAATTTAAGCATTAAAGCCCAGAATATGAAGAAAAACGAGAGTTTCAAAAGAAAGATGTTTGAAAAAAAAGCCATAAGCTTTCAAGAAGTAAATGGAAGTTATACAATACACAAATTGTATAGTTCTGAATGCAGAAAGACTATGTTAGAGTTGGTCTTTTAGCTGGAATATTACAGTGCAGAAAGCTATTACAATTATTTTGTATAGCTTCTGCAATATTTATTTTTTTAATATATGACAGGATGTGCATTATTGTATATTGCAAAACACTTTTGCACTATTTTAATATGTTAAATTACAGTAGCATCATTTTTTCTCTTCACTACTAATGTGAAAATTATACAGAATACAGATCATAGCAATAAGGAAGCTGACTGTGAACTAAATATTTAGTACATGAGATTTCATACCTACAGGTACTACTGCCCTCTAATGGAATTGTTTAATTTGACCTAATTTAATTTTTAAAATGTAAATTACAATTTAATATAAAATTAACTACTGCATATTGCAATTGATTTTAATTGTCAAGTTACTATGTTTTGAAAGCTCAGTTCCTCCTCATAGCCCACAAATTACCATTCCCCTTCTGATAGCTAAATGATGGAGAAAAACTAAACTATTATCATTTCACAGAATCACAGAATCACAGAATGGATTAGGTGGGATCTTAAAGACCATCTCATTTCAACTTCCCTGCCAAGGGCAAGGTTGCCAGCAACTAAATCAGGCTGTCCAGGATCCCATCCATCCCAGCCTTGAATACCTCCAAAGATGGGGCATCTACAACCTCACTGGACAGCCTGTGACAGTGCCTCACTACGCTCTTCCTAACATCTGGCCTAAATCTGCCCTCTTTTAGTTTAAAGTCATTCCCCTTTGTCCTATCACTGTCAGATCAGGTAAAAAGTTGGGCTCCCTCCTGCTTATAAGCTCCCCTCAAGTACTGGAAGGCCATAACAACGTCTCCCCGGAGCGTTCTCCAACCTAAACAAGCCAACTCTCTCAGCCTTTCTTCATAGGATAGGTGTCCCTAGCATTTCGATCATCATATTAGCTTGAGAGCACTTTGTGTACATTTGGGGGTTTTACGCTGTTGCACATTATCTTCCACCTCTTTCTGTGCATTGGCTGTTTGGACAATAACATCTACAGCTATATATATACAGTTATATATAGATAGATAATGTGTGTCTATAAAACATTACGTAGCAGACATCAGGTCATCACTTTTTTGCCTTATGGAAAACACACACTGGCATACAATCTACTAGGGCATATCAGCTGATTAGAGGGAACCTGGTCTAAAATCTTCCTTAGTCTTCTGTACTAGTGGCAATTAAGAGTTTTTTGGTATATGACTGTATGTTGACTTCTAACCTCAAATTCAAATTGTCTTATCAGCAAATTTACAGCCAGGTAACAAACTCAGCATTATCCAATTAAATGTTTAATCATGAATCTAAAAAAACTAATGACATTGAAAAAAAATATTCCACAAAGAGGATGATGACTTTACTCAGAATTTCTTCACTGTTTCACCAGTTTACAAATCTTTATTAATAATTCAAAGGTAAATTCAACCTTTTATTTTACATGCCCCATTTCCAAAAATGGAAACACTATTCCTTCGAGACCATTGCTGCCTTTTCATTACTTACAAAGCTGTGATTTACAGCTGTTGTAATACTTTCTGTTTGCATCAGGCTCCCAAACTCCTATTCAAGACTCAGAAAAGTCTCTTCCTATTTGATCTCCAAAGCATCAGTTTCCTCTGTTACCCCTCTAGTAATAATGTACTGAGGATCTGTCACCTTAGAAAACTTAAGTCAGTAGCTTTAGAAGTATCTTTTCATTAAGAATACCAAATGCTCAGTTGATTTCTGAGAACACTGCAGTTCATCCTAGGTACTTTTTTTCTTCTCTCCATCTCTCCTCCTTGCCTCTCAAGCAAACCAAACTTATATGGGTTATCTATAAATATCTTTGTTTCTCAGCTGAGATTGTGTCTTACTACTTATCAAGTACTATTATTATATTTTAATTCTTTAATTAATTAAATTAACTAATTTAATTAAACAAGTAAATAGTCAAATAAAAAACTATATTTTACTGCTAAACCTGTGGACTTGCAGGAAGAAACTGACTTTTGCTATTAGCAATGTCAGAGTTTAGCATGTTGGTTTAGTAAGCTATGACTTAATAAACATCATCAAGGTATTCAGAACTAATAATTCAAAGGAACAAGGATCTAAACATGGGAAGGAAAAAAAATTCATTTCTTCAGCGAAAGTTGAATTTATTAATTTATTGCCTGAATTAATCAAGTACTACCCAAAAGCTCAGAGCTACACATTAAAAAAATTAAAAACTAAGAGTGAGTTCATCGATGGTAAGCCACATTTAAATTTAATACAATCTAATAATATTTCCTTTATATATTTACAAAATAATCCCCATCAAAAAACTGAGTTTTGTTTATATACAACTTTTGATACATTTCACCTGATAAGCATATTTGTGGTTACATATGCTCACCTATAGTCACTGAATCTGCTACAATCTCAAACTGGGGAATTCAGACAACTACTAACCAGAATTAGAACAGCAGCATTTTCAAAGTCAGAAATGAAAAACATAAAAGTTAAAGGACTTTGCAATAGTACTTCTACCAAATAACATAGTGTAATTACCAATCAAAAATGTGCAAATAATGGCAGATCCAGTAAACAGAAAATTTACGGTAATGGAATACAGATCCCTGTAAAGTAGTGAAATCAACAGAAGCAGCTACACAAATGAGGACATGGATAAAGTAATAAAGTTCTCACACACTTCAGTGATTTTGAGATATCTACACAACAGACTTCAGCATGGGACAGAGATACCCAAGCTAGCTTTAAATGAGGTAATTAAGAATCAGTATATCCCCACCAGTACAGCCCTAATGGCAGACAAATTTGCACTGCCAAGAAACTTCCAACTAACAGCTCCTTGGCAGAAAATTTACTCTGCTAAAGAAGTTCCAGACTAAGAGAAATGCTCACATATATGTATATCCAAGTTACATACAGGAATGAACACTTGTCTGGCTTTAGAATTGTGTCAGTTTCTAAGGAACTGAAAATTCAAACTCACAGAGACTACAGACAGTAGACATTACCTGTGATGATTAAAATGAGAAAGCTCCCTAGAAAGCTGTATTTATTGACCCATGTCCCTACGCTTACGTGTTTATTCTCGTTTCTCTGCCATAAAATGTCCCATTCCTTGTAAATGAGACTTCATGCAAAGAGGTCACTGGAGGAGCCATTAGCTGCCACTGTAAGTGAAGCACACACTTGGAGCTGAAGTTAATATTTATGAAAAAGCAATAAACAAATTGCTTGCAGCAAAAACATGTTATTGTCATTTCTGACACCAACCTCCATCTGTAGGAGTCCAATCGTTGAGGGGACACAGACTATAAAACTTGCAGAGTGAACAAGACTCAAAGAGTTCTGCTATTACAAAGCAATGCCACAACTAAAAGTGAAGAACCATTACAAATCTATCTGATGGAAAAGAACTAAGATTTAACAGTTGCGTGCCACTCCTTAAGTAACCAGGCCAGGAGTGATGTCATTTGGACAACAGTAATATACAGATTTAAACATTTCTGTAAACCTACTGATAACGTCATACTTCATAATTTAAAAGTGTTTGCCTTTGTTTTCTACTATATTTTAATAGATATTACATAAACAATTATAACTCATTATGCCACATCAAGCTCCATTCCCCACCCCTTTTTTTTTTTTTTTTTACATACCTTACACTGCTATTATTAGACTTTACAATTGAAATTAATCTTTTTAGAGGTTTTGCCAAGACCTGAGGGAA